GCTGACATTGAGCAGCCACGTTTTATTTATAATCTGGATGATTCTGAAGGACTAAACATTGCTGCAGGAGGAATAGAGTGGTATAGTGATAATGTATTTTTGTAGGCATATGGGCTCCCTAAAATAAAAGCAAAATTATTTTTGCCTAGGCCCACCCACTCATTCATCAAAATTGACTGGGAGAAAATATAGTTTACCACATTTTTATTTTTGATTATAAAAATTAACAATTCTATAATAAAATAATAGCAAAAAAATGAATACAATGAAAACCAACAATAGTAAACGTAATCAGGCTTCTGCTGTGTGAGATTTTCTGTCCAATCACAACCAAGCCCCCAGGAAGCACTCCGGACTCTGTTCCCACAATTCGTAGTGTCCAAACAGTACTGCAACTTCCGTATCAGTCCGTGATGTCCCTGGGCCCAGAAAGACTTTTTCGAATTGACTTACATTGGGAAAGAGTGGTCTGTAAATCGTCGGATAATTTTTTTTAACCAAATAAACTACCCAGTATGAATATTTGTATAGCCCTTACTAAAAACATTAGGTCCTCAAGTTGTAAAATGTGCTAATAACGTTATTCTGAGAGTTATTTTCCTCTGCATTATGAATGCGCATCTAACCCACGGGACCGCGTCGCCAGGCACGTTCATGTGACATATTCAGTACTAAGTACGTTTTTCATCCATGAGTTTTACCCATGGATGCACAATAAGAACGGACCCATATCGCCTTACTGCCAGCCCCACGGAGCTGTAATAATGGATATATTGCACATGTTTGCTGTAATTCATCATTTTTAAAATCTTATACTACATGGGCTGTATGATGTAAATCTTGTACCGTAAATGTTGTATTGAATAAAGTTAATATTACCGACGTAGATTAAGTCCTGTAGCTTCTTATTGCACTTGCAATATACCATTAAAGGAGTTGAACGTAGCTGTTTGCTATTACTATATAATACCACGCAGGGATAAGCCATTTTGTTTCAGTAATTCTTTGATTGCATACACTTTAATTTCATATGGCAAAAACAAATATATTGTACCTTATTTTTACAAGTGAAATCAGTTGATTGTGACCTTATCACAAAAAGTCAGTGACTTGATACATCCTGCTTCGTAATAATGCATGAAATCGTCATGAGTCATGCATTAATTAATGTAATATATATAATCTGAATCCTTATAAAGTTTCATCATGATTCTATATACAATTATAGAGTTATATGTAATATAATATAAAAATTAAACTTGTGTAGTCTTCGTAACAATATTGTTACGATCTGTCTGTGTTGGGTTTTGTCTTGTCTTTTTCTGTCTTTGGTTTCCTGTTTTGTTTTGAAGAGTGTTCACCCCTGTCCTGCCTGATTGCCCGATTGTGTTCACCTGGTGCCCCTGTGTTTTCTCCTCCCTCCTCACCTGTGTCTTGTTTGTGTGATTGGTCTTGTGTGTATTTTAGTTCTGGTTTTTCTGTCTGTCATTGTCGGTTCATTGTTGGTTTTTCCTGTCTTCCTCCATGTCAGTCACGGTTGTCTCTCCTGTCTCCCTCCATGTGGGTCACGGTCAGTTTTTTGTACAACCCATTTGTTTCATGCCTTGTTTTGATCAGCTTTTAAAATAAAGCTCGCTTTTTGTTACGAGACCTGTTACCTTTTTGATAGTCTGCATTTGGGTCCTACCCTTCCACGCCATCCTAACAGAATGAACCGACCAGCTTTGGACTCAGCAGACTCGGATCGTTTTGCTCTACAGGCAGAATGTCTTGGGTACTCTCTGGAGTACATTTTTTTTACCTGGAATGGCGCCTCTTCTAGACGTGGTAGAGAGGCTGCGTTGAAGGAGGCACGTCAGGAGGTTGCTCGCCAGCCCTGGCTTAGGAGCATGTTGCCTGAGTGGCTACAACTTTTCACAAGTAGTCCTGAGGACTTGTCCGAAGCCTCTAACCCTTTCCTGGGGTATGACCAGGCCTGGGGAGGCCCACATATCCTCCAAAGAATCTCTAGGAGACGCAAGACCAAGATTCCAGCCCGTGCTCCAGTGGTTCCAGCTCCATTCTCTGGCCCTTTTTTGGGATCCCGCCTGGCGTTTGGAGGTCCACGGAGCCTCCAGGGGGCCTCGGAGAAACGCAAGGTCGGGAGGCCGGCTCGTGGTCCAGTACCGGCCCACACAGCCATGGATCCGTGCACCAGTACCGGCCCACACAGCCATGCTTCCGTGCTCCATTACCTGGCTCACACAGCCAGGGTCCAGGCTTCTGTTCCGTGCCCAGCAGCCATAGTCACTGCTCCAGAACCGGACCTTACAGTCATGTTTCCGTGTTCCAGTGCCGGTCCACACAGTCATGGTACCGTGCTCCAGTACCATCCCACACAGCCATGGTTCCGTGTTCCGGTTCCGTGCCCAGCAGCCATGGTGCCTGCTCTAGTACCGGCCCACACAGCCATGGTTCCGGCTCCAGAACCGGCCCATACAGCCATGGTTCCAGCCCCAGTTCTGGCCCCAGCAGCCATGGTTCCGGCCCCAGTTCTGGCCCCAGCAGCCATGGTTCCGGCCCCAGTTCTGGCCCCAGCGGCCATGGTTCCGGCCCCAGTTCTGGCCCCAGCGGCCATGGTTCCGGCCCCAGCAGCCATGGTTCCGGCCCCTGTTCCGGTCCCAGCAGCCATGGTCCCGACTTCAGTTTCGGCTCCAGTACTGGCTCCCCGGCCGACGCCAGCCCCCCGTGTCCTGTCGGTGGTCCGGCCGACTCCAGCACCTCGTGTCCTGTCGGTGGTCCGGCCGACTCCAGCACCTCGTGTCCTGTCGGTGGTCCGGCCGACTCCAGCACCCCGTCTCCTGTCGGTGGTCCGGCCGACTCCAGCACCTCGTGTCCTGTCGGTGGTCCGGCCGACTCCAGCACCTCGTGTCCTGTCGGTGGTCCGGCCGACTCCAGCACCTCGTGTCCTGTCGGTGGTCCGGCCGACTCCAGCACCTCGTGTCCTGTCGGTGGTCCGGCCGACTCCAGCACCCTCGTGTCCTGTCGGTGGTCCGGCCGACTCCAGCACCTCGTGTCCTGTCGGTGGTCCGGCCGACTCCAGCACCCCGTCTCCTGTCGGTGGTCCGGCCGACTCCAGCACCTCGTGTCCTGTCGGTGGTCCGGCCGACTCCAGCACCTCGTGTTCTGTCGGTGGTCCGGCCGACTCCAGCACCCCGTGTCCTGTTGGCTCTATGGCCGACGCCTACCCCATGTCCTGTGATGTTGGAGGTCCCGCCGACTACTCTTCTGCCGGGGGTCCTGCCAACCCTATGTCCTGTGCTGTTGGAGGTCCCGCCGACTACTCTCCTGCCGGGGGTCTTGCCAACTCCATGTCCTGTCCCATTGGGGGTCCCGCCGACTACTCTTCTGCCGGGGGTCTTGCCAATCCTATGTCCTGTGATGTTGGAGGTCCCGCCGACTACTCTCCTGCCGGGGGTCCTGCCAACCCTATGTCCTGTGCTGTTGGAGGTCCCGCCGACTACTCTCCTGCCGGGGGTCTTGCCAACTCCATGTCCTGTCCCGTTGGGGGTCCCGCCGACAACTCTCCTGCCGAGGGTCCTGCCAACTCCACGTCCAGTATCGTTGGAGATCCTGCCAACACCTGTTCCGCTGTGGGCCCTGCCAACCCCAGATTCTGTCCTGTTGGGGGTCCCGCCGACTGCTGCTCCGCCGGGTTTCCTGTCGACACCTGCTCCGCCGGATTTCCTGCCAACACCAGATCCTGTCCTGTTGGGGGTCCCGCCGACACCTGCTCCGCCGGATTTCCTGCCAACACCAGATCCTGTTCCGTTGGGGGTCCAGTCGACACCAGCCCTTGCTCCATCCGGGGTCCCATTGACACCAGCCCTTGTCATGTTCAGGATCCCGTCTACGCCTGTCCCGTCGGCTCCGGTTCCTGTCCGGCCGATACTGGGTCCTGCCCGGCCTCCGGAGCTGTCCCGTCGGCGCCTTCCTGCCCGGCCTCCGGAGCTGTCCCGTCGGCACCTTCCTGCCCGGCCTCCGGAGCTGTCCCGTCGGCGCCTTCCTGCCCGGCCTCCGGAGCTGTCCCGTCGGCGCCTTCCTGCCCGGCCTCCGGAGCTGTCCCGTCGGCGCCTTCCTGCCCGGCCTCCGGAGCTGTCCCGTCGGCGCCTTCCTGCCCGGCCTCCGGAGCTGTCCCGTAGACGTCTTCTTGTTCGCCCTCGAGCCCGGCTCCCTGAGTGCCGCGGTCTTCGCCCTCAAGCCCGGTCTCCTGAGTACCCCAGCCGTGGTCTTCGCCCTCGAGCCCGGCCTCCTGACTCTCCCAACCACTGCCTTCGCTCTCATGCCCGGATCCGTCCCTTGAGGGGGGGGTACTGTTACGATCTGTCTGTGTTGGGTTTTGTCTTGTCTTTTTCTGTCTTTGGTTTCCTGTTTTGTTTTGAAGAGTGTTCACCCCTGTCCTGCCTGATTGCCCGATTGTGTTCACCTGGTGCCCCTGTGTTTTCTCCTCCCTCCTCACCTGTGTCTTGTTTGTGTGATTGGTCTTGTGTGTATTTTAGTTCTGGTTTTTCTGTCTGTCATTGTTGGTTCATTGTTTGTAGTTGACTGTGTGTCACAGGCTAGTGTTCTGTGTTTCTACTTTGTACCTTGGAATAAAGGAATATTCTTGGAAATCTGCATTTGGGTCCTGCCTGCTTACTCAACCCTGACAAATATGATGAAAATGATATGAGCGGGGGCGGCTGTGGCTAAGTGGATAGAGTGCTGGACTTCGAATCAGGGAGTAGCAAGTTCGAGTCCCACTGCAGTCAACATGTCGTTGTGTCCCTGGGCAAGACACTTCACCCCAAAGTGCTCCTGTGGGGATTGTCCACAGTACTGAATGTATGTAAGTCGCTTTGGATAAAAGTGTCTAACAAATGACATGTAATGTAATATGACAACTCAGGCTACATGTACTGCATTTTTCTAAAAGATGATCACCAGTAACAACTTTTTTTTCCTTTTTCAATATATCTTAGGTCCCAATGTGTGGATAATTGGGAGCAGCTACGTTCGACGTGGGGAAGAAAGAGCCAGACACACCATGGAAAGCAGCCTGGGTCTCAATTGCCGTGTGTGGTGGTTTGGCAAGGGTGGTCTGAGGTGGAGGAACCTTCTGCCCTTTTTCTATCAGTCCTTTGGAGGAGGAACAGTCCCGGATGTCCTGCTCATCCACTGTGGCGGCAACGACCTTGGCAACATCAAAAGTGTGGAGCTTGTCACAGCGATGAAGCAGGACCTGCTTTCCCTCAGTGACAACATCTCAGAGATGAAGATAATTCTATCTTCTATCAATGAGAGATGTCACTGGAGGAAAGCCAATCCAGGAAAGCTGAACAAGGCCAGAATGTGGGTGAACAGAGAGATGGGTACATTTGTTAGTAGTTTGGGTGGAGAGAGTGTAAGGCATCCTTGCATTAAGTTTGACTGCCCTGGCATATTTCTAAGAGATGGAGTTAATTTCACCAATTTGGGAAATGATATGTTTTTAAGTGACATTAAACAGTCCCTTGAGGCAGTGGTTCCCAACCTGGGGGGTGCGCCAGGCCTCAGATGATTTGAGGCCAAATATCATATTTAGCCTTTTTTTTTTTTTTACATATAATTGTAACGCAATACATAATTGTCGCTAAAAGCCTTGTCTCTACATTACAATAAAATATAAAAAATAATTGATAAATTAATTTGAATAAAAATGTAAGTTAGTAGCTAATAAAGGCATAAAAAGACAGCAATGTATAATTCTTTCTTTAATAGAAATGTTTCTTCTGCCCGTAAAGTGTCCAAACCAGGCTTGTCTGGATAAGTGCATTTTTAAAACATAATCATTGTCCATGCCGGTTTCAGTTGGATTATTTGTCACAGTAGCTCCGATCAGATCGGTCTGCTGCATTTTGTAGATTATTTACGACTTTTGAATCCACATAAACACATCGGCAAAATCCGGTTTACTTTGAGCTTGTGTTTTAAACAGTTTAATCCCTTTGTGAATTGTTTCCACTTGCGCCGTCCTTTAATTTCTTCATACAGTGAGCGGGAATCCAAATGAATTAATCCTGAGTCCAATAACCATCAAAGTCACTCCAATAGTGCTCCTTAATTACGCTTTCATCCTCCTTTAACAAAATACTTCACATTCATCCAGTTTGTGACAGTAGTTGTAGCATTTTTGAGACTTTGAAACTTTAATTACCGCTGTTGCTCCCCCCGCAAGTACTTATTTAGCCCTTGTAAAACTATGCATGTGTGTAATAATTGCTGTTATCACTAGAAATCAGTATCTAGAAATAAGTAGTATTTTGTTGTATTCCCTCAGGTGTTTTCCCAAGTAATATGAATAGTGGCTTCTTGTTTTGAGAAATTCCAAAAATATTTGACATGTATCTTATAGCTGTTTCTCAGAAGCCACACAAAACATTACAAGACCAAAATATATATATATATAGAGTCAGGTGACGGAGACAGGTGAATCACGTGACACGACAGGTGAACATGGCGCACTAGGTGGCTGCTTCTAGGGGTGGGCGATACCACAAAATCTGGATTCGATCTGATACCAAGTATTTCAGGGCCAGTATCACCGATATCGATACCGATACCGATACTTTTTAAAATGAAAAGCGTCTTGTGTACTTTCAAATAGGGGAGAGCTGCATGACATGATTTTTGAGCTGAAAGCATCATAAATAGACTACATCTGAATTCATTTTCATGAATAAAGACAGGACAGTTTTTATAGACAAATAAACGTTTTACTTTTTGCAAATTTAAAGTGCAAACATGAAAAATAACAGTCGCTAAGTGGCCACAGTAGCAAACTGCCTTCTTGCACACATCACAGTTCGCTAAGTTTTCATTGCCAGTTGTAAAATAGCTCCTCACAACGCTCCTCTTTCTCTCAGCCATCATGCGCGTGTGTGTGTTGCACTCGCGAGTCGCTGGCTGCTGCTGTCCTGCCCTGCTGGCTGCTGTCAGTCAGCTTGATAATCGGCGTTCAGGCAGGGAGCGCGCTGAGCGTGCGCGAGCCTCGAGGAGAGGAGGACAGCAGTGGAGAGAGAAGAAAAGAGCGCATATACTTGTGTTCGTCTGCACATAGTTTTTGATGAAATTGACGAGTAGAGGAGAGGAAAAAAAAAAGTATAAAAGTATCGATCCTATTGGCTCTAGTATCGATATTTTGAAACGTAACGTAATATCGGAAGTATCGATATTTTGGGATCGATCTTCTCATCTGACCGAATTTGCTAAAAATAATCGGCTAAAACAGTCTCTTCCTGATATTGACTTTTTGATCTCTGCTGCTTGAAGTTGGTTCTAAGCGAATATCTAAAAAGCATCAAACTAGGCAGACAGCGAAGTCGCCGAGGAATAAACACCACGAAGACGCTCGCACAATGGAACCAGCTGAGGAAAACACAGAGGTAACACCGCGCTGGGCCCAGCAGCTGTGCGCAGAGATTCAAGATATCAAAAAGGGATTTGAGAATAAATGTGATACTCTCCAAAAGACTATACAAACAATGAATAAAGACACGAAAGCAGCACTCAACACGCTGAAAAACGGATAAGTACGTTAGAAGATCAAGCCAGCACCGACGGTGCGACAAGTTAAACAATTATCCAAAGATGTGAAACTTTTACGCGAACGGGTTATCGACCTTGAGAGCAGAGGAAGAAGGAATAATATCAGAATCAGTGGGCTGAAGCAGGGGACCTGGTCAGCTTCTTGAACAAAATGATACGTTGTATTTTGGATTTGAAAGAGAGCGACCCACTCCCAGAGATCGACCAGGCACACAGAGCCCTCTGACCTAAACCGAACCCAGATAAGTCTCCGCGAACCATCATCGTGCGGCTGCTCCGGTGGGGTGACAGACAGAACATCTTACAAGCATCCAGAAACAAGCAGGCACTACTCTTCGAGGGTCAACGTTTCTTCGTCCGACAGGATCTGGCAATGGAGATCCAAAAACAACGAGCGGCCTACAAGAGGACATCATCGAGAAAGTTAAGAACACCGGTCTGCGATTCGGTCTGCTTCATCCTGCAAGATTTGTCATCACTATCGAGGGAGAGACTTTCAAATATGAATCACCGGAGGCGACACTGAGGGACCTGAAAGTCAAACTTCCAGACGTTTTTTGAGCTGGTTGCTCTTCTTTCCTAAAGATGACTTTCAATATTTAAGTGACTGCACTTTCAAAATCCTAACTTGCTTGCTCCCCTTCATTTCAAACTCTTTAATTCAAGTATGTACTGGAGAGGCAACCATAGTTTTATTTTCACAATTTTTGTTGCTCTATTTAAGTTAATACTGATTAACGTCAGAATAAGAAAAGAAAAAACAAAACACTTAAAAATGTTGCGGTCTTATTCTCAGGACATGCCGGTACTGTATATATAAGTTAATTTCATTTATTTTTCGGTCTGGTTGATGCAGCAAACCTGCGCCTACACCCTACTATCGTGGATAGGAGATGGGGCCTACCTTATCTCATGATTGTATTTATGTATTGTCTATGCCACTTGGCGTAGTAATGTTTGTTGTGTTTATCGTTTACGTTGTGTCGTTGTATGTCTCCCCCTCCCCCTCCGTTACAGTGCCAAGTATTCATATCGTTTAATAAGCAGTGCAGGATGGTGTTTAGTTTTGTTCTGGGAGACTATACACACACACACACACATTCACAATGCACATTCACAATGCACACACGTACAAATACACATACGCACGCACACCCACACGCATAGACGCGTGCAAACGGGCACACATACACACTGGTCTCCCCCCCTCCTTCTCCATTCATAGACTCACTCTCTGTGTTATTATCTCTTACAGAATGTAATATGATTAATGCTATAAAGGTAACATCATGGAATGTAAATGGAATTCAGAACATTGTCAAGAGATACAAAATCCTGTCACATCTAAAGGGCCTTGATAGTGATATAGCCATGTTACAGGAGACCCACTTGAACTTAGAAGAATCAAACAAATTAAAGCAAAGATGGGTTGGCCAAGTGTTCTCCTCCCCAGGCTCTAGAGCAGGGGTGCCCAACCAGTCGATCGTGATCGACCGGTTGATCGCGGGGAGATTCCCAGTCGATCGCGAGATGTGTCTAAAAATAGAACAACAATATTCTGTTTTATCGTTAATGTCCTATAACATAATCTTCCTGTGCCAGAATAGAGTGGCGAAGTCCCTCCCCTTCCGGTGGACCTCCATGGGACCTTATTTCGGAAAGATTATGTATTGAAGTCAATGGAGAGAGAAAGATTATCTTTCGATCCCATTTGAATTGTGCCACGAATTACACATATGATGTTTGTCAATTTAAAAGATAATTTTGCAAGTCAAAAAAAAAAAAATGTGTTGTGAAACTGTGAAGTAACACATTTGTTTGTGTGAAACGCTCAATGAACTACATCTCTGGTCAACAACACACGTCACCAAGATGGCCATCACTACTGTCTTGTTAACAAAACGATTGACTATCCTCACTATCACCACAATGAAACACGTCCTGAAGAATGTCATGCAAAGCTGCCTGCCTGCCTTCCTTTGATTCTCTCTGAACTGCCTGGTCGTTTTAATGTTTAATGTCAACCATTTGTGCAGATAGCATGAAGTAGAGAAGATCGCCGATGCTAGCGTTAGCGTTAGCATTTCTCCCCCGGGCTTAAATTGTGTATTATAGAATGATCACACCGGTGACAGTACTCTTCAAAGGGTTCACGAAATATGACTACTACTCTTACCGTTTAACATTTTGGGTTACTTAATGTTACTTCATGTTAAGGCTAATAAAAATGACAAGGCTGTAATGCTAACTAACGTGCTAGCTACTAGCTAGCTTGATCCAGACACTCCTAGTCCTTTCATCAGACGGGAAGCGAAAGAACGAGCAAGACCCATTGCTGGTATGATAACAACCTGGTACTAAGCACACAGGCATCTTGTTAAAGTTATCTTATCTTAGCCAGCATCATATAGATAGATTCTATATCTGATATATTCTATGCGCTGATCTTAGCTATCTCTTAGTGGAGGAAAACAATTGTGACATCACTTACGCAACTCTGGGATTTGTAGTCTTTCTAATTGCGTATTTTTCATAGTCTTATATTTCAACAGTTTTACGACAAACTGTGACTTTTTTGACATGGAAATGATTTTTTAGGATTGACAAACATCATATGTGTAATTCATGGCACAATTCAAACGGGATCGAAAGATACGTTTTCTCTCTCCATGACTTTTTGGGGACAATAAAAATAACAGTAGCATTTCAACAGGTTTTTGATATAATAAAAACTCAAGTTAGATACCGTTATTAATCAGCTGTAAGTTTTAGTTTGTTTGAACTTATTCATTATAATTATTGTACAAAATGGTATAAGAATGCAAACATTAAGATCTGTTCTGTTTAAATTGATTATAGTCTATTATCAATTCAGCTTAAGAAACTAGTGTTGCTTGCATCCTATTTTAAAGGCATTTCTTTTTATACTCTACTAAAATGCAACAAAAAAAGGGTTTGATTCTATTAATTTTGTCTTTTTTATTGCACTTGGGCAG